CAGGCCCCGGCGGCTCAGGCTCAAGCCGGGCATGTCCCTCCACAGAGAGAGCATTCCAGAGCAGCCAAAAGATAGGTTGGTGGCGACGCGTCGCGCTCATCTGCCCATGTTTGACCACGCTCTGGCTACTTCTGTACTTGTCTTCCAGAATCCGCCTGCGGGAGGACATGCCCGACCTAAGCTCAGGCTGGGCGACCCGTGCGGAGGCAGAAGCCAACGCCCTCCGGTAGCATTAAGTCGGGCCTGTCCCTCTACAGGAGGGATATTCAAAAATAATTTAAAAATTGTCTGGGGACTATTTTTGTACCAATTTTGCACATTTTTGGTGCATTTTGGGGCTATGTTTTATTCTTCGTCCAAAATCCCCCTGTAGGGGGACAGGCCCGACTCAACGGCAGCACGGCGGGCGAGAGCCCGCCGTGCCACCCCCCCCGCCTGAGCCCCCCTCCCCTGCGGGCCGCCGCCCTCGCCCGGAGAGAAAGGCTTCGCCGAAGCGCCCCGTGCTCGGGCAGGAAAGTCGCCGTCGTCGCCGTCGCCGTCGTCGTCGTCGTCGTCGTCGTCTACCACCTCCTCCCCCTCCCCCTCCTCCTCCTCCTCCTCCTCCTCCGCCTATCCCCGCTCCGGATCACCCCCGCATGCCCTCCTCCTCCTCCTCCTCCTCATCCTCCTCCTCCTGCTCCTCCTCCTCCTCCTCCTCCTCCTCCTCCTCCTCCTCCTCCTCCTCCTCCTCCTCCTCCTCCTCCTCCTCCTCCTCCTCCTCCTCCTCCTAGTCAAGGGTCAAGGTTGTGGCTGAGAGGGATAGGCCCAGCAGGGCACGATGTCTCGAGGCTGTGGGTTTTCGGACGTTTTCGTCTGGGTCCCGCGGCTTCCCAGCCTCAGGATGCCTTCAAGCGGCTGCGTCTCCCCATCGAGTGCCCTCCAGCCTCGGGAGGCCTTCCAATGCCTTCCTGCCGTCAATGTCCGCCGATCCCCGCTCCGGATCACCCCCGCATGCCTTCTCGGACTTTGTCTGCCCCCCGAGATCCTGGCGCTGCAGCTTCCTCACAACGATTGTTGTTGTTCGCCCGGCCTCGATCCCCGGGACCCTCACGAGCCGACCCAGATGGGGAAAAATGCGCCGCAGACGGACAGGGCTTAGAGCTCCGTTCGTGATCTTTTCTCTTGCGAGGATGCAGTCGTTTTTGCAGCGGCCTGCGCCTCGCGCACGTGGCCTCTTGGTGGCGGAGTGGCGCGGCCGCGCCAGCGCCGGGCACGGGCGTGCAGGTACCAGCTCTCCGACGCGAGCTGGCATTGCCCCGAGGTCGAGCTGATGCGGGGCCCCAGGGATTCGAGACTACTCCAAATCTCATAATAGTGGGGGGGGGGTCAAAAAGGTGTTTGACGGCCGGTCTGGGACCCCCCCCCAGACAGGCAACAAAACGTCCAAAATCGAGACCCCCCTACAGATGTGTTTGACGAAGCCCGTGAGACCCCCCCCAGAAGCAGACCCCCCCCCATTGTTATGAGATTCGATGCTGCCGGGTCCGCGGTCTCGGGAACCGTCGGAAGCGAGGCGAGATGAGAAGCCAGGGCCGCCCACGGTTCGATTGCTACGCGATTCGATGTGCCAGCTGGGTCCGCGATTCCGATTCGCTTCGGTCTGGCTCGGCTCGACTCGCCGGCATCGGTGGGAGTTGGGCGCGGAGAGCCGATTCGGGGCGATTCGTTGGTGATCCGATGCGTTTCCGATCCGACCTCGCGATTCGATCCAGTTCAGGCCTGAAAACGGTGCCCAAGGAATGCGTTGAGAGGTCCGGAGGTCTACATCTCGACAAGATCGAGCTGTTGGACGTCTGGATGGTTTCGACCGCTTGGGACCCCCCGCGTGCCTCTGGCGCCCCCTAAGATCGGTTAAAACGATTCCATGCGCAAGCATAAACGGTTGCCAGCGTGGACGCCAAAGTTTGAGTTGCTGCACTGTGGATGTGCGAGCTATGTGCTGCAAGCTACGTGGTGCAGTATATGTTGTACACGCTGTGTGGTGTAAGCTATGCTATGCAAGCTATGCGGTGCAAGCTGCGTGGTGCAAGTTATGCGCTGTGAGCTGTGCGGTGCAAGCTCTGCGGTGTAAACTATGCGATGCAAGGTGTGTGGTGTAGGCGTCGCGATACCATGTGGTGTAAGCTACCTGGTGTAGGCGTCGCGGTGCCGTCTATGTCTGTGTGGTGTAGGATGTGCGATGCAAGCTGGCTGGTGCAGGCTGTGTGGTGCAGGCTGTGCAGTGCAGGCGCGTGCGGTGCCAGCTGGCCGGTGCGGGCCATGTGGTGCAGCCTGCCCGGTGCAGTGCACGTGGCTCGAGCTGTGCGATGCAGGCCAGGCGGCCGCCCGCGAGGCGCCGCGCCCGCGAGGCGCCGCGCCGGGCGGAAGACGTCGGCACCTCCCACCGGGCGCGCGAGACGCCCCTGGCGGGCGGGCACCGGGCGGAGCTTCGCCGCGCCCTCCCAGCACCGAGGCGCCCGCGGGCGGCCGCCCCCGCCGGGCCACCGGGGCGCGGGCGCCTGCCACGCGCCTCCCCGGGCGCGAGGCGTGCCGAAGAGGGCCCCGCCTTCGAGGATCGAAGGAGCTGTCATCGCGTCCTCGGCGGGAGGCCGGCGGAGGTAAGAGGGGGGCCGCCTCCGCCGGCGGAAGCCGGCGGAAGTGAGAGGTCCGCTCTCCAGAGGTGCGAAGGTTTTGTCAGAGTCCCGAATCATCAGGGGTAACTCGGGTCAGGGCTAACTCGGGTTCGTTTTTCGGGAGTCCGAACCCGAGTTATCCCGGACCCGAGTTACCCCGGATATTTCGGGCGCCCAGAGCCCCGAATCATCAGGGGTAACTCGGGTCAGGGTTAACTCGGGTTCGTTTTTGGGGAACCCAAACCCGAGTTACCCCGGACCCGAGTTACCCCGGATAACTCGGGCGTCCAATTTTGGGGGTCAGGGTTTCCGGAATCCCCCACGCGGGGCCTCCCTGGAGCATCCGAGAGCTCCGGGAATGTGGTCGCCCTCCACCCTCCTCCCTCGCAGCTCGGAGGTGTCCTTGAAGCGAGGCGGACCTCTCTCTCCCTCTCTCTCTCTCTCTCTCTCTCTCTTTCTCTCTCTCTCTCTATATATGTGTGTAAATATATACCTATATATATATATATATATATGTATACATATATATATATATATATATATATATATCGCAGCTTTGGGGCCTCCTTGGATGCCAGACCAACGTTTTACCTATAAGACCTTGGTTCGACATTCAAGGACGTTCCCGAGCTGCGGTAACAGTTGCGCATGGAATGGACGATGCGTTGGGCCTGGGCGTGGCCCAGGCCGCCCTGAACTGCGACGTGCCCGCTCTGCCTGGCAGAGCATGATCGGGAAGCCTCCTGGGGCGCTTTGTCTTTTCTCGAAACTTACATGTTGTCACTTGACCGAAGCAACCGCTTCTGTCCTCTGTCCCCCGCCCCCTGCTTCTGTGCGTTTCCCGTGTTTCCCGTGGTGTGTCCCAACGCTTTGAAAAGGAAATGCCTAGCCCCAGCCTTTGGTGCCAAGAAGGTCAGAGACGTGACTGGCTGAAGGCTACGGATGAGGCTTCGTTTGCTCACGACGAAGGGAGGGGAAGGAGGCAGGAATGGAGGGAGGGGGGGAGCGTGAGTCAGCGGGAATGTGCATTTGAGGGGAAGCGAGCGTAATAGGAGAAAGGCATGCGTGATTTCTGACCCCGAATCCAATTGCCAGATCGGTTCGAGACGTCGCCGCGGCGGTCGCGGCGGCCATAAATCAGGGTAAAGTTTCGGCCGCGGAATGGCATGCCCCTTCCCCCCCCCCCCCCCACACACACCCCGCGCTACTCTGCGACGTAGACGTGGCCCATAATTCATCGTGTAGCGACAGAGAGCTGCCAACTGATGTCAAACATGGGCAGTCATGTTTCTTTGGTGAAGGGCCCGATTATCACGCAGCAAAGAGGGAAAGAGAGACAGAGAGAAACAGGAACATATGCCGCGACTTCGCGGATGGCGTCCTCTTCGCGGAGATGGTGAATCATTATTTTCCCAGGCGTCGGATGCCGATTCGTTGGTTGTCGTCTTCGTCGTCGTGGTTGTCATCGCCATCAGCATCGGCGAGTTAGCAAGGTTGGGTTGGCGCAAGTTATTCATTTCATGTTCAAGTCCGAGGCATCTACCTAAAGCAAGGCGTTCCGACGCATGTGGCCATGACAAGTGCGTGCAGGTAAGATGTTGGAATAATCGTTGATGAACATGTGACAACATCGAGATCCGCATCGTTTGCACCCGAGGATCCCAAGACCCCTGGACTAGATCAAAATGCTGAGCCCAGAGAGGATCAGGTTCCTGATGGACCAGAAAAGAGCACAGGTTATACACGATTCTGCAGCACCTGCAATGAGGCTTCAGGTGAAAAGGAGGAGGAGGAGGAGACTTGCAATAAGGCTTCAGGTCAAAGGAGGAGGGTAGGGAGGGCGAGGAGGAGGAGAGGGAGGAGCAAAAAGGAGGAACATAGAGCGAGAAGGAGGTGGAAGAAGAAGAAGAAGATCTCGGGCGCCTCTCGCGAGGAGTCCTCCTATTCCTCACTGTTCCCTCCTCGCATACCCTCTCTCCTCTCCCCGCCAGCGCGAGTGGGGGGGGGGAGCCTCGAAGGCTCCGAGACCCGGTCGGTTCGTTTTGGTGTGTGGTTCTCGCCGTAGCCGTCGTCGCTCTCGTCGATGCAGTTCTCCGCCATCTTGACTCAAGGCATTTTGGTCAGATATAGTCTCGCCAACGTATTGTCTCCATATTGGCCAGTCGCAGTCCGAGTTGAACGAGGCCGTGCGATGGTGCCCATCTTTACACTACCGTTTCTTGCTGTCATCGTGCCCGCCTCAGCTTTGAACTATGTGGCTGACTTGCAGACGGTCGCAGAAAATAGGGAGCGTATCCGAGTAGGGAGCCAATTGGAGTTGGAGAGCGGGTCCGATTCTTCCGCAGAGGCCAGGGAGCGTATGACCTTCGATCTTAAACGCATGGGCGTGGAATTCGAGAGCCAAAGTCAGGACACTGTGACATTCTCCCCAGCGGAGCGACTCGCTATGCATGCCAACAAGTTCGCGGCGGAGTTCGACGCCGACCTCGACATGACCCCCGTCGTCACCGAGGGAAAGAGCGTGGGCGTCACGTTCGACATGGATACGGACTTCCAGCCGGTGTCCGTGCTGAAGGTCAAGAAGAACGGTGTTCTCCAGGATTGGAACAATGCTCACCCAGACAAGGCCGTGATGGTTGGCGACGAGGTCGTCAAGGTCAACGACATTCAGTGGCACGCCAATTCACAGACGTTTGCGGAGCGTATCAAGGGACAGTTCTTGGCTGCCAAGCACCAGAAGCCTGGCGCGAGCAACATCCTGAGACTTCATATCCAGCGGCCACGGAGGGAGAGGGCTGTACGCTACGCGGCACAGCGCGAAGATCTGCACAGGAAGCTCTACTCGGCGGAGTTCGTGGCGGAGATCCCCATGAAAGGCGTGCTCCCCCACGACCCCCTCAACCAGGCCATGGGGTGGAGGCTGAACTCGTCAGTGGACTGGTCGCCTGTCTCGATCGAGAAGCTCCGGACCACTGGCCTGGTGGCCAAGTACAACAAGGAGCACCCCGAGGCAAGGATCGTGGCCGGCGACGAGATCACCCAAGTGAACCACATCCCGTTCCACCACAGCGCCACTACTTTCGAGGATCTCCTTTCTGCGAAATAACCATACAACAGGTCCGACACTTGTGTGTATATCTATTCAGTTGAAGTGTTGCACAACTTCAATGTGAATCATTTGAGACTGTTCGCTCTGAACTGCTCGCGTGCCGTTCAACACGTGTACCCGAAACCCTCGATACCCGCCCTTCGTCTTCGATCGTACCCTGCATGCCGCGTGTAGTCAGCGCAGCCGCTAAAACGAGGGAAGGAAGGGAGGAGGGAAGAGCATGAGGGAGATGTGCAGGAGGAGGGCTAGGAGCAGGAGCACAAACGGCAGAACCAGACGGGCAGGTCGGGCGGGCGGACCCTAACTGGCAGGTCGGGCGGGCTGGCCCAGACAGCCGGGTCGAGCGGGCGGGTCGCTGAAGCGTCAATCTAACATCAATCGCGAGGAAAGTTTTAGCAATAGCGCGATTTCAAAATAAATCGTAAGGTAATGCAGAGCGAGAGCACGAGTCCTGAGTCTATGGGGCACGGCGCCGCATTAGATTCTTCACAATTCACACATCCATCGTTTCCCTGGCACTCCGCTTTGCCGTTCGTGTTCACTCTGTTCACGGTTTGACGACAAGCGTCCGGGTCAGTATTCCCTTCTGGAGTCTCGTTGTGTGCGATTTCGGTGGCGCCACTTCCATGCACTAGTTTCCTGGTCAGTGTGTTTTTCCTGGCCTAGCTGGTGTCAGCGGTCCTTCGTGATGGTGCTCCTAGCTTCATCTTGGTATCGCTCCCGCGCCATTTTGGCTGCGCTCCAACCTTGGTTGGCTAATTATGCATGCGCTCGCTCCTGGGCCTGTCTCCTGGCAGCTGCAGCCCGCACCACCTCTCGCATCCGGTCCGCTTCGGTGCTGCCTCGGCCACCGGTTAGCCGGCGCGTTAGGCAATCAGGTTCGCGCGTAGCCCTCCCGACCCGACTGACGCCGCCTGCGCTTCCGCTTGCGGCCGCGACAAAAAAAAATCCCCACCAGCGCCCTCGGCGCTGCTGTCCCTCGGCGGTTGCAGCAGCTTCCCCCGGCGGCAGGTTCTGCTGGTGCCTGCGCGCGCGCCGGCAGTTCGATCCGCTCGCAGCCCGAGCGGACTCGACTCGCCGCTGGCGCCTTCGCCTGCGGCCTGCGACAAAAAAATCCCCGCCGGCCCATTCAGAAGCCTTGCCCATGAGAGCTGACGGGAAACGGGGCGAAGAGACACATCTAGGGAATCAAAGCGAGCAACCAGGGTGAACTGAGAGATCCCTGGGAGCAAGGGAGTGGCCTTGGAAGGCCTCTTCGGGCAATCCCTGTGGGCCGCGTGGGGGCGAGGGGAAGAAGAGGAGGAGCAGCAAGCGGAGGATGAGGACGAGGAGGAATAGGTGGACGAGGACACGGATGAGGACGAGTACGAGGAGGACGAGGACTAGGATGAGGACGACGCGGACGAGGATTCATGGAACCATCTAAAGGTATTATTGCGGTTGCTGTTGCTGCTGGTGCTCTCTGGGAGTTTTTGGGGCCCTCTTGGAACCTTCTTCGTAACCCTGGAAGGCTTCTTGGGATCATCTTGGAGGCCATCGATTACACGATGGGGGGGTCCCCAACTCAGCTCCCCCCCTCAGGAGCCCGCAAACCGCTTCTTGGGGCTCTCCTGGAGCGCTCTTGGAGCGGTCTTGGGGCCGTTTGGAGCATCTTAGGAGCCAGCTTGGGCTATCTGAGCCATCTTGGAGGTCATCTTGGACTCGCTGAGGCCGTTCGAGGGCCTCTTGGGGCCATCTTTGGGCTCTCTTGGGACCCTCTTGGGGCCCAAGAGGGGCTGTCTTGGGGCTCTCTTGGGAGCCCTGGAGCGCATCTTGGGGCCATCTTCGAGGCTATCGATCAAAGGAGGGGGGGTCCCGATCTAGGTCCCCCTCTGGGGCCGTGAAAACCGCCTTTTCGGGCGTTCCTGGAGCCCTCTTGGGGCGCTCTTGGGCGTTCTTGGGGCCGTCTTAGGGGCATCGTGGGCCCCTCTTGGGGCCTTCTTGGGCCATCTTTGGGCCGTATTGAGGCCCCCAAAGCGCATCGGAAGCGAAACGGCAAGAAGGCAAAAATCTCCCGATCGAGGTCCCCCTTTCAGGGGCCAAGATCCTCGTGAGGGGTGTCCAAAATTGGCCCTCCCAGGGGCCGAAAAAAGACCTTCCCGCCATCCGCGACCGCCGCGGGGAGGGGTAAACCCCTCCCCGAAGAGGAAGACGGGTTTTGTGGAATAGGAAAGAAAGACATCGTTACACCACCTGCGCCCAGAGGGCTGGTGGGAGTGTAAGGAATCCCACGCGAGAGTGCAAGTCTTGCATGAATTGTGAGGAAGTCAGCCCTGAGAGGAATACGTTCATACAAAAACACAAGGTGCACCGGAGGGGGGGGAATCAAACAATTATGGTGTTCCAGAAAATCCGCAAGAGCCCGAGCGCAAGTGTTTGTTTCAATTCGTCGTTTGTTGCGAAACCATATACAGCATGTTCTATGAATTCGTGACACTCGACCTTGAAATCCCGACGAAACCGAAGAGGGTCTGAAGGATTTCGGCATGTGCTCGCGACGACGCGCGCGTGTGCACTTAGTCCCACTGTTTGCAGTGGATGTTTAAAAAGTGACGCTTTTTGATAAACGAGTGCGCGCGAATAGTACTTGCTGCAAGGGATGGGGGGGGCGATACCGACCTGCCTAGGATGGTACGAATTCATACTTAGGATGGCCGATGGGGCAGAATCACATGTAAATTAAAATACGAAAAGGAGAATCGCTAATTCCGGGGAGGGGGGAGGTAGATCTCATTATTCTTTTAGAAGGGAGAATAAATTGCCATGAAGTCTCGAGCGGGAGCCGTCGGCATTGTTGTTGTTGTTGTTGAATTCCCATTTCTAAAGGATCATTGTTGTTGATCACCCCTCCTGCATTTGTTCACGTAAAATGCTTCTCCCGGGGCTCGCACCCTGTTTCTTACAAGGGAAAGCGAATTGTCACCAAAGCGTGCCCCTGGCCCTCCGTTTACAGCAACAACGATTCCCGCTGGATGTTGCCTCACAAATCATTCCCAAATCGCGTTCTTGCGCGGGGTTTCCCCCTCACAATCTATGCAGAAATCGCACTTTCCCGTGGGACTCCTCGCAACTTACTCAGACGCCGCGCCCCCGGCAGTCAAGAATCACGCTCTCGCTGTATGTTTCCTCACGAGTATTTGGGAATTGCGCTGTCGCTTGAGACGTCCTCGCAATTCACGCACGACGCACGCTTCAGCAACCCGCCTGCTCGACCTGGCCGCCGGGGCCCGCCTTCCCGACCCGCCTGCTAGGGTCTACCCGCCCGATCTGCCCGTCTGGTTCTGGCACGTGTTCTCTGATCCTAGCCTCTCTCCTGCTTTCCTCTCTCGTGCTCCATCCTCCTCCCTCCCCCTTGTCCCTTCCTTCCATCCGTCCTCTCTTCCCCTGCCTTATTGGCTGCACGAAATACACGTTGTAGGTAATAAAGATAGACCCTCAAGGGGGCACGATCAAAGACGAAGCGGGCGAGTGTCAATGGGTTGGGATACACGCGTTAAATGGCACGCGAGCAGATAAGAGCGAACAGTCTTAAAATTGTTGTTGTTATTGAATACGGACTGGCCACGGCTCCTGGGCACCCCCAAAACAACAACAACAACAACAACAACAACAACAACAACAACAACAACAACAACAACAACAACAACCATCATGTCCAGACCGTTCGCTCTGGCCTGCTCGCGTGCCACTCAACACGTAAATCCCGAACCCTCGATACCCGCCCTTTTTCGTTTTAGATCGTACCTCCTTAGGGGTATATCTTTCTTAAGTGCAACGCGTATTGCGCGCAGCCCCTAAGGCAGGGGAAAAAAGGACGGATGGAAGGAAGGGTCAAGGGCGACGGAGGAGGATGGAGCACAAGAGAGAGAGAGAGAGAGTAGTTGGAGACGGGTTAGGAGCAGAAAACACATGCCAGAACCAGACGGGCAGATCGGGTGGGTAGACCCTAACGGGCGGGTCGGGAAAGCGGGCGCGATTCCCAAATAAATCGTGAGGAACCCACAGCGAGAGCGTGGTTCTTGAGTGTCGAGGGCGCGGCGTTTGAGTAAATTGCAAGGAAGTCCGACGCGAGAGCGCGATTCCTATATAAATTGTAAGGGGCTCCTGCGCGAGAGCGCGATTTGGGAATCGGAGGTTGGGGGGTGAGATCGCAGTGGAACGGAGACTCCCAACCGGGAAATCGTTTCGTTTCGTTCGTGTCGTGCGTGCGGGCGGGGCGAAGCTGCGTGGGCGCGCGAGAGGAATGAACCCGCCGCTGCAAGGGCGAAGTCAAGACAAATGATTCTCCCCCGTCCGTCCGTCTGGCGGTGGCTCGCGGTGTCCCGCGGTGTCCCGTGGTGTCCCGTGGTGTCCCGAGGTGTCCGCCGTTGCTAGGGCGAAGTCAATCTTCCCCGTCCGTCCGTCCGTCCGGCGGTGGCTCGCGGTGTCCCGCGGTGTCCCGTGGTGTCCCGTGGTGTCCCGTTGAGTGAGATCAATATTGAGATCGATATTGAGATCGATGTGGTGCCCCGAGGTGTCCCGTGGTGTCCCGTGATGTCCCAAAAAGTGAGATCGATAGTGAGATCGACAGGTATCCCGCGGTGTCCCGAGGTGTCCCGTTGAGTGAGATCGATATTGAGATCGATAGTGAGAACGATATTGAAATCGATGTGGTGCCCCGAGGTGTCCCGTGGTGTCCAGTGGTGTCCCAAAAAGTGAGATCGATAGTGAGATCAACAGGTGTCCCGTGGTGTCCCGTTGAGTGAGATCGATAGTGAGATCGATGTGGTGTCCCGAGGTGTCCCGTGGTGTCCTATGGTGTCCCGTTGAGTGAGATCGATACGCGGTGTCCCGTGGTGGCCCGTGGTGTCCCGTGGTGTCCCGTTGAGTGAGATCGATAGTACGATCAGCAAGTGTCCCGTGGTATCCCGTGGTGTCTTGTTGAGTGAGATCGATAGTGAGATCGATTGAGTCAGATGTTGGTTCCCCCCCCTCTCCTCCCCCCCACAACCTCCTTATTACCCGAAGGGTGGTCGTATAGGTATACACTGTGAGGTCCCAGGAAACCACGAACGTGGCGACAGTTTCGCAGATCGCAGCCCACCAGGAACGGCGAGGTCTCATGGTGGTCCCCGTGAGATGCACTTCCGCTGGACCCCCCAGGAGCCACGAACGTGGCGAGAGTTTCGCTGATCGCAGCCTCCCCAGGGACGGCGAGGTCTCGTGGCGACTTGCGTGGGACACCCCTCCGCTGGACCTCCCGGGAGCCCACGAAAGTGGCGACAGTTTCGTTGATCGCAGCCCCCCAGGGACGGCGACGTCTCGTGGTGATTTGCGTGGGACACCCCTCCGCTGGACCTCCCAGGAGCCCGCGAAAGTGGCGACAGTTGTTTTGCAGACCGCGGGCACGAGGCAGGAGGCAGAAGACAGGCGGGAGGAGAGAGGAAAAGAAGGGAGCAGGGGGGAGGCGGGTGGAGGGGGAAGAGAAAAAGGACGTGGAGAACACAGCACTGTACTCAAGACCAGAAACCCAACCAAGGGAGGGTTGGGAGTAAGCAAGAGGCAGAAGGCAGGAGGAGGGAGTCGGGAGGACGGAGACCACAGTGCTCTATTCAGAACGAGTACCCAACCAAGGGAGGGTTGGGAAAAGCACCAGGTGTCTCAGAGGGGGGATCAACATTACTTCTCGCTCTAAGCAGTGAGGATTCAACAGTGGACATGTTAACACGGTTCGCTCTCATCTGCCCGCGTGCCACGCGACACGTTTCGATATCCGCCTTGTTCGTCTTCGATCGTACCCCCGTGGAGGTGCTCCTTCCCTGCCTGCCGCGCATAGTCGGCGCAGTCCCTAAAACAGGAGAAGAGGAGACGGATGGAAGGAAGGGAGAAGGGGGAGGGAGAAGGGTGGAGCACGAGAGAGACACGCAGGAGGGGGTCCAGGAGCAGAAAGCACGTGCCAGAACCAGACGGGCAGTTAGGGCGGATAGACCCTGACGGGCGGGTCAGGAAGGCGGGCCGCGGCGGCCGGATCGAGCAGGCGGGGTGCTGAAGCGTGAGTATTGCATGATTCCGAAGTAGGTCGTGAGGAAGGCCAAACCGAGAGTGTGATTCCTGAGTGTCGACGGCCCAGCGTCTGAATACATTGCCAGGAAGGTCAACATCGGAGCGCGATTCCTGCACCTATTGTGAGGAAGAAGTCCTGCGAGAAAGCGCAATGTTGCAACACAATGCAAGGAGATATCAGGCGGGAGCCATTGTTGTTGTAAACCTGGAGGCCCGGGCCCAGTGTGGTGACACCAGAGTTGCTTTCATAACACATCAGGTGCGAGCCCCAGGAGGAGCACTTCAGTTAAAAACCTCTTTGTGCATTGGGGAGGGGGATCAACAGTAATTAAATTTTAGGAATGAGAATCCAACAATAAGAACAATAACAAGGAAACAACAGCAACAACTAAAGGGAACACACACACACGTGTTCGCTTCGCGGCGAGTTTGTCCAACACAGCATGGACACTAGCGGAATGCGCTAAGCTGATTACCACCGAGCTGCTTACGTCGGTAGGCCAACCGACAAGCAGTTGACGAGGAACAGACACACAGCAAAGTTTGCACTCACGAAAAATAGAGGAGCGCCTCGGGGCGCAGTACCTGGCTGCGCGGACGAAGGAGTACACCGGGGCCCCCGACGAGAAGAACGTCCTCAGGCTCTACATCCGGCGGCCGAGGCTGGGGCCCAAGAAACTCATCCAACGTAGTGTTGCCAGCCATGTTCCTCCCCTCTTCGGGCGAGGCAGCAGGGCTCATTTCGATTCCTTCGACTCGATTCGATCCGATGTCGATCGATTCCGATACCCGTTCGATTCAGCTTCGGATTCTGATTGAATGTCAGTCCCTCAGTGGAGGCTGTGTTGGCCCGCCTACTTCCATCGATTCAATGTCTCCCAACTTGGCTGCCGATGTCCTCGGATCCGATTCATTTCGATTTCCAGTCCGACTTCTCGATTCGACTCTGGGCTCTCATGGGGCTGGGACCTGGATGAGTCGTCCAAGAGCCTCCCAGAATGCTCTCAGAGCGCTGCGCTCTCGAACGGCCGCGGCGCCCGATACATCCTCCGGGGCCGCCGGATCTCAGAGGTCCCCGATGTTTGCCTTGGTCTTGGCTTCGCCTTAGCTCTCCCTCTGCCGCTCTCCCTCCACCTTCCCCGCGGAGCGGAGGAGGTGCGGGGGGGAGGGAGTAGCAATATGGTGGGTGGCTTCTTGAGCCTCACAGGTCGGCCGGGAACGATGCCCCACAAGATCAAGTATACACGAAGTTCTATTCGGTCAATCTTAACCTGAGGGACGCGCACACGCTAGGCTGGCAGCTGAACGCCAGCAGCGACTCGGAACCGATCACGGTCGCTAAGATCATGACTAAGAAGGGTCACCCCATTCAGATGTATAACGAGGCTCGAAGATCCAGCGCAAAGGTACGGAGGGATGTCGAGATTTCTTGGGTCGGCGCTAAGGCCTTGTCCCCACACACCCAGGCGGCACATCCAGCGCCGCCCTGGCGCGCTCCGCATGCCATGGAAGGGATGTCCAGCGCCAGCCCAAGAAATCTGCGCGGAGCTCCCCGAAGTTTATGGTCACGTTGTTTTGGTGTTCCTCTACAGGCTAATCCCGACAACATGATTCGTGTCGGCGATGGCGTCCTGAGGGTGAACGATGTCACGTGGCACGGCAACACCAAGAAGTTCGCCGAGCGCATCTCCAAGGAGTTCGAAAAGGTACGCCCGCGCCACGCCAAGGGCCAGAACAAGGACGCCCAGTACTACACAGTCAATCTCACTCTGGCGGACATCGAAGAGCCAAAGGGCATGGACATAATTGTCTGGAGGTCTGTGTGGATTTCTTGGGTCGACCTTTGGTGCCCCCTGGTGGCGCCTCGGGCGCCGCCCCTGGCGCGCGAAGCTCAACAGGGGAGGGAAGTCTGGCGACAGCCTGAGAAATCCGTGCGGACCTCCGAAAGATTGTACTTGCGCCTTTTCTGCTATCCTAGGACAACCACGCGCTGGGCTGGCACCTCAATGTTGGTAACGATTCGGATCCAATCACTGTCGACAAGATCATGCAGAAGAAGGGTCACCCCATATACAACTACAACCTGGCCAATCCCAACAATCTGGTGCAGGTCGGCGATGCCGTCCTGAGGGTGAACGACGTCACATGGCATGGCAACACCAAGAAATTCGCAGACCGCATCGACAAAGAATTCGAGAAGGTACGGCCCCGCCACTCGAAGGACAATACAACGGAGCCGCATAATACAACCCTGCAGCTGCTCATGAAGCGTGGCAATGAGCAGCCGACCATGGGGCTGACCGAGGAGCCGCGCAACACAACCATGAAGCTGTTTCTGCAGCGGCGCCTTGTGCAGCCGATCGCGAAGGAGCCTGACACAGAAACTCCGTTCACCGCACCAGGTCCCGTGGTTCGTTCACGGCTCGGGCTCATCTGCGGCGTGGCCAGGATGGTGCCAACGCACGTTCTGTCGTCCTGAAAGGTGTTTTTTTTGGCATCACCCTGGTCGGGCTGGTGGATGGTGGTCGGGACTGGACATGCCACGTGGTTGGTGTGGTGCGCTGGTTCCCCGTCACAGGAGTGGACCGTGACGATGCCGGCCGAGGAAGGAGGGGTGCTGGGCTGGCAGCTGGATTACAACGAGGAGGAATTCCCCGTCACAGTCTCCAAGATCCGCACCAACGGAGTAGCCTTTGAGTTCAACCAGGAGCACCCGGATTCGAGAATAGTACCGGGCGACATCATCGTCAAGGTGGACGACCTCCTGTGGCGCGAAGACTCGTCGAATTTTGCGAAGCTCGTGGGCGAAAAGTTTACGAAGGCCAAGAAGAAAGGCAACATATCTTTCTTCATTAGGAGGCCCCAAGGAGTAAAGGACACTACCAATGCTCTTTCTGCCGACAGGCCTTTCTTCAAGGAGTTTATTGTTAAATTGCCAGTACTTGAGTCGTTGGGATGGCAGCTGTCGTCAGACAACGATTCAGCCCCGCTGACTATTGCCAAAATCCGCACCACGGGCGCGGTGCACGATTGGAATGAAAAGAATCCTCTGAACGACATCCAGGTCGGCGATCACATCGCTAAGGTGAACAACGTCATCTGGCACAACAACACGCAGGAATTCACCCAGAAAATGAACCTCCAGATGAACGCCGCGCGCAAGGGCACGGCTAAGCCGACCATCCAGCTGCTTGTCCAGAGGCCGTGGCGTACCTCCGAGCCCGAATCGAACGATGATTCTGGCGACGATGGGGTGATCGGGGCGAGCGAAGACGTCTCGGGGGGTGGCGAGGACGAGATGGGCGCCACCAACTGAGACAGAGGAAGCCGCATGCGATGGGGTCGGGCGCGCCAACCCGAAGAATATTTTGGATTACCAACGGCATGCCGACGATGGTCGCAACGTTTCCTAATGGACTTCTGCTGCCAACGGCATCGATTACCAGCTGCAATGCCGATGGTGATAGATCCCGCCAAAAAATGTGACGGTGCGTAGTCGTCCTGAGCCTCGTGGTCGTCCTCGTCCGCGTCTTCCTCTTCCGCTCGAGCCTGTATCCGCGTCCCCGCTTCCCTGTTGCCACATCACCAAAGACAATTTCGACTCACCGCCGCAATCATGGCTTCTCGGGCAGCAACCAACCGGTGGACCAATGTGCAGCCAAGCTATTGGATTGCATGTTTCCGTGGCTTCGGCGACCATATTGAGGGCCTACTGGGGTTTACTGGAGGCATATGGGAACATGGGGGGCATCGTGTGGCCGCAGTGCGATTCTTTGAAGGCCTTTGGGAGCATCTTGGAAGTTTCTCGGGGCCTTCGTGAGGCTCTTCGTTCGAGGGGGGAGTCATGGGACGCCCAGAAAGGATGATTCGAAAACCATTGTAAAACCATAGCCCCCGAACAGTGCACCGCGTAGATTGCAGTTCATAGGCTGTACGGCGGAGATGATTCTCCGTAGATTGCATCGCGTATTTTTGCACCACACGAAATGCCACACACATAGGGTTCCACACACGAGGTTCCACCCGCATTGAGTTCGACGCACATCATGTTCCACGCGCATGGGGACCCAAACACATTCCCGAAACAGTGCTTGCACTGATGGATTCTCGGTTGCCATCGGGCCGTTGCCACCCACGGTACGCGCGACTCAACGCGCAACCCACCGCGCAACCAACCGCACGATCCACCGCGCAACCCCTCTCGCAGTCCACCGCGAAGCCCCTCTCGCAATCCACCGCGCAACCCTTCTCGCAATCCACCGCGCGACCCTCCGCGCAATCCAGCGCGGAGCCGCGCAGCCCAGCGCAAACCCGCGCACGGGGGGGGGGGGGGGGGCGGGCTCAAGCACGTGGCGTTCCGCACGCACGGGCTCCGCGCAGAGGGCCCCACACGCACATTGGGTCCTACACAAAAGGGTCCCCACACATAGGGTTCCATTCCCACGGGGCTCCACGCGCACACACACACACACACACACACACACACACACAGGAGCCCCACAGCCACTGCATGAATGGGACCGCTGTGCCAGGGCCCGAGTGATGGCGCCACGTCCTCGAGCCACGTCGGCTCTGAACACGTGGACCCTCTCCGTGTGGCTCCGAGGCCATTGTGGCGCCATGTTGAGGCCATCGTGGTGGGAGGGGGACAGGTGGGATCCCAACAAGATTGGTGAGATCCCAGCTGCTGCGAACACCTGGACGGGTGAGATTCCGGCGAGATCCCAACGAGGTGTATTCGAGCTTCTGAACTGTTCCCAGGGTCTCATAGACACCTTCTAGACGCCCTGCAGGCGCCGTACATGCGCCTGGGCAACTTGTAGATGCTCAGCGGCACTTCACATGCACGCCATCGGTTCCTGGAAGCGTGCGAGGAGGGGTGACTTGCCCAGGGGGGGAGGGGGGGGGGAAACTTCGACCCCCGATCGCCCGTGCATTGCCGATCTGGCCCCCCACCTTGCCCAGGGAGCGTTTGGTGTCCTTCTCGGGTCCCTGTCGGCGATGTTTCGCGAGATGCGTCGCGTGAGCCAGTATCCCCTTCTGTCGCCCTCCCCCTCCCCCCCTCACGTGGCGCGAACCCCGAAGCATTGATTCGCAAGGACACGTTGTATCAGGCGAATCGGCGCACGTGACGGGTCGGCGTCGTCCTCCTCAGTAATCTGTCGTCAGAGTCGTGTTTCGCCGGTTGAAGGTTAGCATGAGGATTATGGTCACGACGATGGCAGTGAAGGATGGCAAGGGTGAGTGTCATTGCGCATCTAGTGATGAGTGTGTACGGGTTATGTCGTAGATGTTTGTAGTAGTGATGAGGATGGTGATTGAGGGGCGAGGGGGGCAGGGAGGGAAAGAGGGAGCGTGACGGGTCGTTGTCAGTCGTCAGTGGCCAGGCGTCGTGTTAGAGTCGATAATATCGGTGTTGATGGTCTGATGATGATGGTAGCAAAACGATTAGAGACGACGAGGACGAAGATTGTGCAGATGCGGAGGATGTCGATGGTAGTGGGTACGACGATAGTGATGAGGGTGGTGGTGGCGGTGTTGATGATGATGATGATGGTGGTGATGATGATGATGATGATGATGATGATGATGATGATGATGATGATGATGATGATGATTATTATGACGTCGTTGCCGATGCCGATGACGCTGACGAGATGGTGAGGGTGGTGATGGTGAGGATGGTGACGAGGAGGGGATGGCGAATATGGATGATGGCGACGATGATGGTTATGAAGGTGGTAAAGGTGTGAATGATGTTGGTCACGGCGCAGATGGTGATGGTGCTAATGGTGTTGACAGTGATGGTCTTGTTGACGGTGATGGTGGTGATGATGGTGGTTAGGTTGATGATGACCTTCATGGTGATGACGTTGATGGGCAATCGGCAGGAGGACAATGAGGAAGCGTGAAGAGGATAGTGATGATGAGGATGGTGATGCAGGTGATGATTAGGCTGACGGTTGTCATGGTGATACTGATTAGAATGGTGATGTTGATGGAGATTCATATCAACGACGCTTACGGCAAACCACCTCCGCCCCCTTGCCCTTTGGAAGCGCCTATTTGACCAGACGTTGGGCCAAAGTCTTGCCAAACTATTGGGCTGTGTGTTCCCCCAGCCGTTGCGGAAACCCGCGTGGAAAACACATGGGGACGGAAGATGGAGAGGAGAAGGTGAGAAAGAATAAAAGGAACCTTTGGGGGCCTCCCAGGGGCCTGGGGGTCTTTGGGGAGCCTGGGAGGGTCCTCTTGGGCCGCCCTTGGATCTGTCTAAGGTTTTCGGAGGCCGTCTGAGGGGGCTCCTTGGGCCGTCTTGGGGCCTTCAGGAGGCGCGTCAGGGTCGTCTTGGGAGTCTCTTGGGCCGTCTTGGGCCCCTCTTGGCCCGTCTTGGGGTCTATTGAGGGCCTCTTGGGCCATCTAGGAGTCCTGTGGAGCTGCCTTCGGCTGTCGGGAGCCCAGCAAGACGATGAACTTGGCTTCTTCAGGCCCTCATGGAGACTCCTGGAAGGCTTCTTGGAGCCCTCTTGGGCCGACTTGGGGGCCTCTTGAGCAATACTGAGGCCGTCTGGGAGCGTCTTGAGGCCATATTGGGTCGCCTTGGAGTATTAGTGGCCTGAACACGGCACACAAACAAAACGCCGGTCTCAATGGTCGGCTTCAATATCATATCGAAGTTGGACGGATGGGATTTCAAAGGTGGCACGACGAAGAGTGTGTCAGCACCCTCTGTTTAGATGGTTTGGTTCCCACAGTCATGATGATCACGCACGTAGAATTTCGAAAGGAGCTTTTCGTGCTCGTTGTGATCTCACCCGTTCCGTTGGCATCTCACCGGTTCCGTTGGGACCTCGCCCCACCGCATCTGAGTGGCTCCCAGGGGCCATCCTGAATGCCGAGGCGAAGGATCTGGGGCCACCCTGGCGGCCATCAGCGGGTCGTCTTGGGCAGCGCCGCGGGCCTCGGTGCCGTCCCAGGCCGTCTTGGGCGCAGTCCTGCAGCGCTGTGGAGCAGGGTGCGGCCAAGACGCCGCGCCGCGGGCCACTCGGCTCGGGAGGAGGGGGGCCCTGGCTGTCGGGCCTCGGGGAACGTCTCCGTGGCCCAGGCTCGTCGTGCTCAGAGGAGCCTCGGTCGCTCCTGCCTCGGCGCCCCCTGCAGCAGCAGCGCGAGGACTTCGCAGGAGGAGGAGGAGGAGGAGGAGGAGGACGACGAGGACTGCAGGCAGTGGAGCGCGCAGCGATGGCAGGGGGGCGGGGTGCTCTGAGAGTCGCCGGCGCTCGGCGCACTCTGCAGTCCTCCTCCTCCTCCTCCTCCTCCTCCTCCTCCTCCTCCTCCTCCTCCTCCTCCTCCTCCTCCTCCTCCTCCTCCTCCTCCTCCTGTGGCTCCGCACAGCTTCGGCACTGGCAAGCAGGGCGTGCGTGCCGTGCCTCGGGTGCCGTGCCGCGCGTGCCGTCGTCGCTCACATCCGCGCCGAGGTGGGTCACAGTGGAGCCCATGCCAAGGAACACCCGGCTTGCCTCCAGGAGGGTGCCCTGGGTTTCGTGGGTGTCAATGGCTTTGCCATGGAAAGCGGGACGTGCCCACACCAAAAATGCATGGACGTCTTGGGGTCTCAGGGTTGGGTTTCTTGTGGCAGGTTTCTTGCGGACCAGCTTTCACTGCACAGCAGGCAACTCAAGTAAGAAATCGGCCTGCCATTCGAGGTGCCCCACGGAAATTGCCAGTTCCCCGATGACCCTGGCGACGCGCAGAATCTTTGGGGCATCCCAGGACCCTCAGGGCTCGACGAAAAGTGTGCCCCAAGGTTTCTTGGATCTAGATGTCCTGCCATAGTGCCGTCTGCATTGATCACTATGGCGCGCTGCGGCAGGAATCCTTGCAGGGTGCTGCTCCATCACTGCTCGTGGCGCCGCACCTCAGCAGCTTGCACCCAGTGCGCTGTAGATGCCACGCTGCCCGTCTCCGCGACTCTTGCCATCTCTCGCCCCGCTGGCTGTTGCCCTTGGGCGTGCTCGTCAGAGGGCATTGCGCTCTCGCCCGAGGATGGTGGAGATGCACAGCTACAGTTCGGCAAATTCCATGCAACAGAAGAAGGCGAACTGGAAGCTGTTGAACACGAAGGTGCTCAGGAAGCTGGGCTATCCCGCATGCCGGCGCAGGTCCGCCAATATTTGACGTGCACAGATCTCAAGGACAAAGCCCCGATGAGATCCGAGGGGCGGCATTGGATGTCAGCGGTAATTGCAAACCCCTCTGCCTACTCATCTCCACTTGTCTTTCTGTCACAGGAGGGACGTTAGGCGACTTCAAAGATTGCGCCGTGCGATGCTAACTCGCGCTGCTCTTCCCCACGTAAAAGTGGGCCTAAATATGGAATAACTCGCTTGCCTGAGAGAAGAAGGCAGCAACATATGTTCGTATAGATAGATGTGAAGAGAGAGAGAGAGAGAGAGAGAGTGGCCTTCGGCCCATCCCGCCACCATTCCTCGGTGGTAGGTCAAAGGCTTCTTGGTTGTCTACGGGGTTCTCTTGGGAGGCTTCTCTGGCACCTCAGAGACGGCTGTAGGATGTCATTGGGATCTCTCGGGGGCTCCTTGGGGGGTCTCTTGGGGTCTGACTTGGGCCTCCTGGAGTCTCTAGGGTCCTCTTGGGCCATCTGGATGACGTATTGGGCGTATTAGAGCAAACTTCGGGCGACTCGGGGCCCTCTTGGACCGTCTTGAAGGGCCTCTTAGGGCCCTCGTGAGCCGTTTGGGGTGCCTTTTTTGCTCCGAAAATTATGCGGGGACACGCAGGTGCAAAAAAAGCTTCATTCCGGGAGGGGGGGGAACTGCATGCGGGAAGTCCCCGGTAAAGTTTGGGGAATTGGGCCCCTGAATATTCAACATGCAGGAATGAGGACGGCAAATTCGAGGGACTTGGGGACATTCCAATGTTTGCCTCCCTACACATGTGCATGTATATATGTATATATGTGTGTGTAGACACACACGTAGGTATGCATACATACATGCATACATACGCATGTACATGCATACATGCATATCTATACACAAATACACAGATACAGACATACATACATTCATACATACCTACACACATGCATGCATGCCTACACACGTATGTGATTACATGTACCCATACATGCATACCTACAGACGTATAACTACATACATACATACATATAAGTTTATCTTGCATGCATACATACATACATGAATGCATACATGCATGCATTGTACATATGCACACGCACGCATACACACATGCGCACATACAGGCATGCTTGTATGTATGCACACACAGTCATGAACATGCACGTATGCATATACAGTTACATTTTTATATATATGTGCAGTCATGTGTATACATTCATATACACACTGAACATGACTATGCCTCTATGAGTAGAGAGAGGTGGGTAGACATAGTTTCATTTATATGCACACACACATGTGTATGTATGTCTGTAAGTATGTATGTGTGCGCGTATATACACACGCCATCGCACCAGCCACAAATCTCTTACGCCAACATGGCGTCTTGTGTGAGAGCCTCGCCATGACTACCAGATGCGAGTCTGCCGATCCCGTGCGAAGACTTCCTGGAGCTCCAAGACCCTCAGTCGCTGCTCTGCCTCTCCAGCATCTCAGCGACGAGGACTTCCAGCTGTCAATCTTCTCGGCTGCCCTGCCCCAGGCCTCGCAGTTGATGCCGACTTGCGTTGCTCCGACTGACCAGCCGCGACCCCAGCGTGCCGTCACAGCGAATGTTGGATTTGTTCTTTGTCCTGGCCACCCGCACGGCGTAAGCCGCGGCTGACTATAGTAAGACTTGAGACTCCAAGCTCAAACCTTGCCAAATAATAGGTGGATACATATATATATATATATATATATATGTGTATGTGTATGCGTATATGGCGAATTCGTGTTGCCAGTGCTTGTAAGCACGTTGGCACTGCCACTTGTTGTACAATGGTGCGCCATGGGTGATGCGAATTCTAAGGCATCTAAGACTCTTGCTGCGTACGCAATTGTGTCGCACAAAGCGTTTGGATCCCAAGATGCTGCGCTCGTGCACAAATCTTACTTCATGCGGTGTTTCTCTTGTCGAGACTCCTGCTCGGTGTGCACGTGATCGTGCCAGCAAACAGTGAGGCATTTGAAGCGGTTGAGCACTGTGTACATGATTGTGTGTCCGCAGGATGTCTGGGTGCGCGAGGCGCTACATCGGCCTGTCTTTGAGTGCTTGGTCGCCCGTCTTCGTTTGAAGTACTGCGCCTGGCTGCACCAGGGCAGGCCTCCAGCTTTGCTCGCGCGGTGCTCGGCGAGAGATCACGAGGGCACAGGCGGCGGCGGACCCAAGCCGCAGAGAACATGATGCGAGCGTTCTCCGGCCCTGCCTCCTGGACGGTCTCCCTGCTCTGCCTGAGGCTCCCGAGGCACGGGCACACCTCCTGCAGGACGAGTGCTCCTGGAAGGTGCTGGCAGATCACATGTTGTTTTGTGGTTCGGCGTGCGACGCCAAGGCGGTGCCAGACCCCACCCCAGGTTGCGAGCTTCGTGCCTGCCGCCGTGGCGCTGCACTCGCTACCGCCCGTGGCCTGCAGAGCCATCGACCAGCAAAGCTCGGAGCTCGACTACGGCTTCGTTGCTACCTGTCTGGGTCACAGTGCCCCGCCTGCGGCCCCGAATTTGCCCAGCGATTGCGACTGCTCGCCCACGTGTCCCATTCGAGGCGCACGGAGTGTCGCGATTGGATTCGCTCGCATTGTCTTCGACTCCCCGACACCGAGGTTGCGAGATTCGATGCGGTTGACGGAACTGCGCCAGTCAGCGCAACGAGTTGGGCAAAGCCACAATTTAGTTGTGGCCCCTGCTCGCGCCACTACTGGAAAAGTCTCTGGCCACGGCGCTCCTGAGTTCATGAGTTGATGATCGTCTGGGTTACCTTAAGACTACCATTATTGGCCGAATATATTTGTATTGCATACAACTTGTTTTCATCTGCGCATATACGCACATACACACATACATGCATATTCATAAGACTGGCCCAAGTCTGATGGGAGGATGTGGGGGTGGAACCATCGACAGGACAACCATCGGGACACTCCCGATGCCACGAACAACCTCTATCGGTCGATCCATTGGTCGCTATCGCTAATTCTTTATCTCACCATCATACCATCGATATCATTATCGATCTACCTATCGAGACCATTATCCATAGACCGATCCCACGATCGATCTACCGAAATCGCAATCGATGTTATTGTTGAAAAACATCTCGACAGGCATCAGCATGAATTTGTCGCCCCCACGGTCTATCAATCAGTAGACCGTTGGGACCATCATCGGGACAACATTTATCGGTGCGTGTATATATATAGGTATCGGTATCATCATGAGTATGTTAGATTGTAGATGTGTCGATTGTACCGACCGTCGATGTATCGATATTACGGCATAGCTACGCATCTAAATTGGTGTTACTACAAAGATATATATATATATATATATATATACACATACATACATACATATAATCATATGTGCATATATACAGTGGATATACGTGTGTGTATGTATATATATGTATATATATATGTGTATATATACCTATGTATGTGTATCTAAATATATATATATATATATAGATGTCACTATCAGTGCGGCAAGTCTCGCCACCGTGCCAGCCCAACATTGTAGGCGGCGATTGCTCAAAGGGGCACGGGAGGCCGTCACGTGTGACGTTTCGTGTCTCCACGTTGGGGAGAGCCGCGATCATGATGAGGAGGAGAAGACAAAGGAGGAAGAGAACGAGGATGAGGAGAAAGAATGAGGCCCTTACACGTGACACCTCTCGTCTTCACTATTTGAGGCGAGATCTCATGGAACTCGTTTGGGCCCTTTTGTGGCTGTCTTGGCATCTGGTGGTGCAGTTGTCGGGGTCCTTTGGGGCCGTCCAGAGGCCCTCTTAGGCCGTCTTGGCGCTCTCTTGGGCCGTCCTGGGGTCCTCTGGGCAGTATGGTGGGTGCCCAGGGGCCGTCTCGGCGCCGTCTTGAGCAGTCGAAGGGCCTTCAGACCGTCTTGGGTCTCATAGGAGGTCCTCTTGGGTCGTCTTGAAGCAGTCTTGGATACCTCTTGGGCCCTCGCGGTGTCCTTTTTTCGTCATCTTTGGACCCTCGTGGCCTCTTGGGCTATCGTCGGGCCATCGTGCAGGCTTCATGGGCCGTCTTGAGCTGACGGCAGCCCGAAACATGAGAATGCGACAATCATTCGAAAGCCAGTCGGAAATCAAAGATTTTGTTTTCTTCGGGCGCAAGTCCTTGTTGGGCCCTCGTGGGAGCATCTTGGACCGTCTTGAGGCAATATTCGGTCGCCTTAGGGCCATCTTGGCCCATCTTCGAGGCATATTGGGCCATCTTGGTTCTCTTGGTTGCCTGTCTGGGCCGTCTTGGAAGCTCGGGACGCGGACGCATTGGTTCCTAGGATGGATCGTGGCTTCTGGAGCGCGGATCCATTGTTTTTGAATGGGGTCGTGGCCTCGGGACCAGGGGGAGTGCATGCGTTTGTCTGCGAGTAGAGTGGGGGGTGGCTTTCTTATTACAAAACAAGAGCTCTACAAAGCAGCACCAGGCATTCCAACACGCCCACATTGTTCAGGCACGGTGGCGGATGTGTCAGTACATGTGCCGATCACCTTCACGACAGATTCATCTACCCCACGATCAGGCAATCGATCTACCATCGGTAGCACCATCGAGATAACGGGACAACCATCGGGACAATTGCCGGGACAACCATCGGGACAACCGTCGGGACAACCACGGGACAACAATTGTGACAACCACGGGACAGCAAACGGGACATCCACGGGACAATTGCGAGGCAAGTTTGGCCCCAAGTCCTCCAAAGGGCAGAAGGAGAAATTTGTTTTGCGTCGGCGGCGAGGCAGCGACGTGTGCGCTAGCGGACAGGCCTAAGCGGGGATGCCGCTGAAGCGAATTGGGCCACCATGCAGGAGGGGGAGGGGGGAGGACGCGGCCGAAAAGAGGGGGAAGGAGAAATAGTCGGTTCGACTTCGCCTTAGCAACGGCGGGATCACCCCTCTCGCCCGCGCACGCGGCTTCTCGCTCGCACGCACGTTGCGA